TGAGCGCTGGGTGGTAAGAGGATCCCTCCCGTGCGACGGTCGTGTGCCTGGCGCGAGCAGGGAAGGTTGGAGTACCTGCTGTCCTGAGGGACAGGAGCTGCTCCGGGGCGCAACCCCAGGTCTGGAGACCGCAGCGTCAGGGAAGGAGCCAGGTGAAGCACAGACGGAGCTGGGGCTCACTCTGCGGAGGAGGGCAGGGGCATGTGGCGGTGCAGGAGGGTAGGAGCAGGGGCCCCGGGTCCTCTCTTAAAACGGTGCGGCAGAAAGGTGGTAAGGCACAAGGCTCATGTCCTAACTGGGGAATAAGATGTGACTAGTCCGGGCTTGGTGATTTACAGGGCGCGTGTGCACGGCTTGGGGTCTGCTGCTGCTGCAGCTGCTGATGGGACGCAAGCGAGCGAATTCAGGTGTCCCCATGGCCGGGAGCACTCCCCAGCCAGCTCCTCGGGCGTTCACGGCTCGCAGACGCGCACGTAGACCACAGCGTGCGAGTGATGTCCTCACCACCCGCTGCTGCACGCTCTAAAACTTGGGGCACGCTCTGCCCACGAGGACACACAGCCGTACCCTCTGCAGGGCCAAAGGACCGACATGTCGTGTTCCCGGGTCAGCGTGGCCTTCAGCCGGGCTGCGTCTGAGAGCAGGGGCATTTTCCCTCATTTCTGCGTGAAACTAGGGCACACACGGTCTTCAAGAGAAAGAAAGCCCAAGTTGATGACTGCTGTGTTTCTTTAACAGCGTTTCGGGAGACAAGCACTGTCAGTGACAGAAATCTCAGAAACAGATTAAATATTGGGACTGGTCTGGCTCAGCAACCTCCAACACCTCCGATGCGCTGGGACAGGTCTGCTGTACACGCAGAGGTACCAGGTGATTGTAAAAGTCGTGTGCAGTGAAAGGGCTGGAGGACACTTCGTCTGCCAACCAGACCCCCGTGGGTCTTGGGACCTGCCCCTCCAGCCTCCTGGAGAAAATCTCCCTGGGAATATCTCCCTTGTGCTGCAGGGACATTCCCTGACTGCAGGTCTTCAGCTCATTGTGCCTTTCCTTTTAATCCATCACACCAGGACTCACATCCATAGGTTGTTGTTCTGGGATCTGATGCAACCAGCTCAGCTGCTGCTTGTGATGTCAGCCCTCAACGTCACCATCGTCCAGCACGCTGCCTTCCGCAGTCACCCCTGGCCTGGAGCCTGTCCAGATGTGGCTTGGTGTTCTTGTCTGCACCCTCTACATCCTCTCCATGGTGGGGAGCTGCATCATTCTCTGCATCTTAAGAGTAGACCGACATCTCCATCAACCTATGTACTTCTTCCTTTGCATGATGTCCCTCAACAACCTTGAGGTCTCACTCTCCACGCTGCTTGCCGTGCTGACCACCTTCTGCTTTGACTGCCGAGGAGCTGGCTGCAGCACCTGTTCAGCCCAGATGTTTTTCATCCACTGCCTCTCCTTAACGTGGGGCTGCTGCTGGCCATATCCTTCCAATGGTGTCATTGCCATCCGTACCCCACTGCACTACACGTCCGCCCGCACAGGCACCAGGATCCTGGGCATCGGGCTGGCTGCTGCAGTGAGAGGCTTTGGTGTGCTGTCGCCCTTAGCTTTTCTTCTTAGGCACCTGCCTTTCTGCCGTGACAAAGTCCTCTCTCATCCCTACTGTTTGCACCCAGACATAATGAAGCTGGCATGTGCAGACATTTCTCTCCATATTTTGTATGGTCTGTGTGCTGTTATCGTAGTCTTTGGAATAGACTCGTTGCTGCTGTCATCCTCTATGTTACGATTTGGACGACCACCATCAGTGCCACATCTCAAGGGCAGCATCTCAAAGCCCTGTGTCTCCTATGTCTCTGCTGTTCCAAGACCCTGCGTCCCAACGGTGGCTGTCTCCACCGTACACTGCTTTGGGGAGGACCTTCCGCTTCTTCTGATGTCCAGTATTTGTCTCTCTGTGCCTCCTGTTCTCAACTCTCTCGTTTACAGTGTGAACAACAAAGATATTTGAAAGGTATTTGATATTTGATCATTCCTCAGAATGATCTCCAGGCAGCCAACCTAAACTGCCTGTGATTTCGGAGTGCAAGTTTGGAGGGATTCAGGTAATTTGGCTCAGACCCTTTCTTTCACAGAGAACCACAGAGCATATTCCTTCTTATAACGAGATTAAATTCCATCTCGACTGCTTCCTTGGGAAGCTGTCTCTAACCAACGGAGGAGAGAAAGTTTGTAATTCTCATTTTATAACAGTCTGTTCAGCCAATGATCTTGTACTGCTCCTGCCTGTGCGGGTAAGTGGTGAGCAGATAGGGTCTATGTGTCTTCATGCAGAGTTCATCTTACAAAGAAATCAAGCCCATTACACTCTCCTGAAATCATCATCTGACCAGCCATGGAAGGGGCAGGAGGCACGTGGCTGAGCAGTGCAGGTGATCAGCCACAGACCAGTGCAAATCTGGCTGAGGAGCAGCCACCCAACTCATTGCATTGTGTAAAGCAGCAGAATTGGAGGAGCCGATCAGATGCCCGTGGGTGTCACCTGCCCTTGAGGCACCGATGACCCGTGCACCCCCCAAGTCCTGCGCCCAGCCTTATCTGTGGGCACACAAGGTGTGCGAGGAGGGACTACATGAGCCAGGGGCCATGGGCACGTGTCCTGCCCGAGGGCAGCGGCAGCTGGGACAGGGGCTGGACTCTTGCCCCTGTCCCCATCCCACAGGGAGGAGATCATGTCCCTGAGAGCAGCCACCCTTGACACTCGGATGACTTTACTGCGTTGCAGTTTGCATCCCTCTAATTGGGCTTTCAGTAAACCCGTGTGTCTAACCGGCCCGCAAACTTCTCTTGGTCTTTAGATTCAGCCATTAGACAATAGCATTATCTTGTATTTCTTTCTATATTGCAGACATCATTTGGGTTTAATGTGTATTTTATCAATAATTTATACTCTTGAATAGTGGGAGATGTGAAATACTACAGCTGCCTTGTACATCAAATCAATGTAAACGCAATGAGAATATGGCAAGAGAAGATGAATATGAGTAGTAAGTTATTACACAATATTTCCTGTATGACTTCTAGAGCCAGAACCTATGTGTTTATTTATTTTTATTACATTACCTGAGAGGCTGCATTTAAAAATTCAGAGTGGTATACTACCCAGGAAACTGATATCTGTTGCACACCATTTTCTCCTTCTCAGTGTAAGAAATTTCATATTTTGTTGACCAAGACGTTGACTCACATGATTCTGTAATGCCATCTTTTATGTCTTTCGTTTACACACTGCAAATAGAATGTGTTGAACTCTTAATACATAAAACGTGTTAAAATGGAGAAAAGAAGAAAAAATGAAAAATATTGTTACATTGCCTGTTAGGTAGCAGATCTGAAAGAAAAATTGCCTTTTCATTTCTCAGAGCCGAATTTTATAATTTGACAAAATGGAAATTGAAACATTTTTAACACAAATCTTGTTTGGACTTATTTTTCTGAGAAGAACCCTGGAAGCATTTAAAGTAACCCAAAATATTTTATTCCACTTGCAATTATAAGAAATTGCTGCGTCATAAATAATGTAGACAGGAGAACTTCTTAAGACGGTCCGTAGTAGGTGATTTCAGCCTTCTTTCCTTGATCATTTAATATATGGTGGATGAAGTTGCTAAGCCACTACCCATCATATGTGAGAAGTCATGGCACTCTGGTGAAGTTTGCACAGACTGGAAAAGGGGAAACATAGCACCAATTTATGAAAATGGGAAAAAAGGAAGACCAAAGGAACTACAGACCGGTCAGTCTCACCTCTGTGCCTGGCGAGATCATGGAGCAGATCCTCCTGGGAACTACGCTAAGGCATATGGAAAATAAGGAGGTGATTGGTGACAACCAACATGGATTCACTAGGGCAAATTGTGCCTGACAACTTTGGTGGCCTTCTATGACAGGGTTACAGCATTGGTGCATGAGGGAAGAGCGACTGACATCATCTACCTGCACTTGTGCAAAGCATTAGACATTGTCCCACATGGCATCCTTGTCTCTAAATTGGAGAGACATGGATTTGACAGATGGGCCACACAGTGGATAAGGAATTGGTTGAATAGTTGCACTCAAAGAGTTACAGTCAATGGCCCAATGTCCAAGTGGAGACCAGTGACAAGTGGCATTCCTCAGGGGACGGTATTGGGACTGGCGCTGTTTAACATTTTTGTTGGCTACATGGACAGTGGGATCGAGGGCACCCTCAGCAAGTTTGCAGAGGACACAAAGCTGTGTGGTGCAGTCAGCATGCTGGAGGGGAGGGATGCCATCCAGAGGGATCTGGACAAGCTTGAGATGTGGGTGTCTGCAAACCTCATCAAGTTCAACAAGGCCAAGGGCAGGGTCCTGCCCCTGGGTCAAGGCAACCCCCGGTATCAGCACACGCTGGGGGTGAAGGGATGGAGAGCAGCCCCATGGAGAAGGACTTGGGGGTCCTGGTGGGTGAAAAGCTGGACAGGAGCCGGCAACCTGTGCTCACAGCCCAGAAGCCACCCGTGTCCTGGGCTGCCCCCAAAGCCGCGTGGCCAGCAGGGCGAGGGAGGGGATTCTGCCCGTCTGCCCCGCTCTGGGGAGACCCCCCTGCAGTTCTGCGTCCAGCTCTGGAGCCCTCGGCACAGGAGAGACATGGACCTGCTGGAGCGGGGCCAGAGGAGGCCCCAGCAATGCTCCGAGGGCTGGAACAGCTCTGCTGGGAGGACAGGCTGGGAGAGCTGGGGGGGCTCAGCCTGGAGCAGAGAAGGCTCCGGGGAGACCTTCCTGCAGCTGCCAGGACTGAAAGAGGACCAACAAGAAAGCTGGAGAGGGACTTTTTACAAGGACATGTAGCAACAGAACAAGATGAAATGGCTTTAAACTGAAAGAGGGTAAATTTAGATTAGGTATAAGGAGGAAATTCTTCACTATGAGGGTGGTGACATATTGGAACACGTTGCCCAGAGAAGTTGTGGATGCCCAATACCTGGAAGTGTTCAAGGCCAGGTTGGACGGGGCGTTGAGCAACCTGAAGGTGTCCCTGCCCATGGCAGGGTGTTGGAACTGCAGGATCTTTAAGGTCCCTTCCACCCCAAACCATCCAATGATTCTATGATATGATTCTGTCCTTCGCAGGATACTTAGATCAACTTCCTACAATTTTGAGAGAATGCAGAGAAGTAAACTGCTATACAGTGCACATAACCATGCTCTTTATCAGCACCCTTTTTGAATTCTTTGGGACTTATGTCCATGACCAATGGTCTCTAATCCAGTCTTCACAACAAGCAGGGCAGTTGTAGCTTTCACGTTCGGCATGCACAATGTCTCACCTTCCTAAAATAGCAGGAAACTCTGTCCCTGCCCACCTCACAGTCATTTACATCCTGGCATCAGCTTATACTAACATATGGTCCATAGAAAGAAAAACAGCCTTTGGCGTTTGTGAGGAAATGTTCTGCAGCTTTGTGAGAAAAAAGTCAAAACGCTGATGCTGCTCAGCCAGACTGTGTGCTGGAGGTCACCTGCCCCTCCAAAAGCACAGGGCCAGAGGTAGTTGTTGTAAAGTAGAAACGGTCTTTACAAATCACAGAATGACAGAAGGGTTTGGGTGGGAAGGGACCTTTCAAGGCCATCTAGTCCAACCCCTGCCATGAGCAGGGACATCCCCAACTCGAGCAGGTTGCTCATAGCCCTGTCCAGCCTGACCTGGGATGTTCCCAGGGATGGGGCAGCCACCACCTCTCTGGGCAACCTGGGCCAGGGTTTCAGCACCCTCCGTGTGAAAGGTTTCTGCCTTAGATCTAGCCTGAATCTGCCCTCTTTTAGTTTAAAACCATTACCCCTCATCCTATCAAAACAGACCCTGCTAAAATAAACAGTTTGCTTTACTTTTGCATTAAGACTACTTCTCTTTCCTAAGGATCCAGTGTCTGACAGATTGGGACAGTAATGGCCTAAATCACTCAAATCTTTTGTACAACTGAAGTGCTCCAGGAGACACAAGTGCCAAAGAAGGCTGCTGCAAGCAGCAGCCAGCACCGCCTGGACCACTTACCTGCAGTAAGCCCACTGGATAGCACATGCACTAAAAAAAGCATGATTTCCCTGATGTTTGAGTCACCAAACCTTGCTCCGCAGTTGGTTCAATCCAGCTGCAAACAGCTTTCTGCAGTAGGTATCCATATTTGCAGTGGTGACTGTATCAGATTTACACAGAGCATTGCATTGATTTTCAAGAACATTCCTTGGGAGTACTGTGCCTCCCCACCACTGCCCCACCAGAGCCTTGTGCCTAAGTAATCAGCTGCCAAGTTTTGCAGTGTTGTGTGCCACCGTTCCATCTGCAGTCAAACGCAAATCACCAGGTACATTACACTTTCCTTGCCAACTCCTGGTAATTAAACAGTATATGACTGTCTTGTTTGCAATTAATTTCTCCAACATTCTTTATGTCAAGGGCTGGGAAACCTAAGGGCTAAATGTCCCTGTACAAAATCCTGAAAACCGCAATATGTTTTGCAATTAACTGTATGCAGGAAATTGCTCTTCCCTATGGCACATCAAAAGACAGCCTGACCTTTTCCGTGTCCTTTATCAGACGGTAAACTGGACCGTCTCAAGGTTATATTTGTTATGGTGCAGCTGAGGCTGTGAGCACAGAGGTAAAGATGCAGACTCAGAAGCATAGACGTGAACCAAATCACTCGTTCGCTTGCATACAAAGCAGCAGGCATCTCCAGCTATGGCAAATTAAGTCCTGCTGAGGCAGGCCAAGACTGCCGACAGGAATTACACTGTGCATTCAGCCTTTCTAAAATCAGGAAAGCTTCTTTTGCAATGGGTTCATTCATTCACGCACTAGGCAACCTGTCCCCTCTGCAGGTAGGTTTGTACACGGGGACAAAAGGGACAAGTTTTCAGGCACGGGCTTTCCTCTCCAGACCTGAAAACAGGCAGTTGAGTTGTACGTCTCTTTCAAGCACATTTGTT